GTGAGGTACCACTTCATCCGAGGCTGTTTGGAGGAAGGGAGCATCAAGGCGAGCTACATCAACACCAAGGACCAGCTTGCGGACCTGCTCACCAAGCCCCTTGGGAGGATCAAGTTCCTTGAGCTCTGCTCGAGGACCGGGATGGTTCAACTTTCCCACAAGACGACGCACAAGACTTAGGGGGAGAATGATGGATAAGTCTGGCTGGTCTGGTCTTTGTGGGGCTGCTGGCTGTTGCTGCCGCAAGGACAGCATCTTAGAGGACAGCATCTTAATATCTTAGACTAGCATCTTAGCATCTTAAACTAGCATCTTGACATATGCTTCGATGGCTAGCAGCCTATAAATATGTATCCCCCAACCTCTCAGGTTGGCATTTCATTTGTGTGAGAAATAAACCAGAAAATTGTCCCAACTCCTAGTGTCATCCTCTCTCGATGAGAGTAAGAATTCTGCTACTACCAAGAGTAAGAATTCAGCGACTAACATCCAAACCCGGGTCCTAAACGGCGTGGATGCGGCGTGGACGACAGGCTCTCCGCTCTGCGAGATTACCGTCGCGCCCGCAGCCTCTGCATCAAGTGTGGCAAGAAGTGGTCCCATGATCACCGATGTCCTGAAGCCATTCAGCTGCATGCTTTGCAAGAGCTCTGGGAGGTCTGCTTCAATGATGCATATCCCGAAGATTTTTCAGAAGAGTCTTCTGAAGCCGAAGATGCTCCGTTGTGCTCGGCCATCTCTATGGCCGCATCTGGAGGTACTCTGTCAGTTAACTCTATCCAGTTCATGGGTATCATTCAGGGACATCCGGCTCGGATTTTGATTGATTCTGGCAGCAGCCATACTTTTGTCAGTGAGTCTCTTGCTGTTCACCTGGATGGCATGTCCACTTTGGACCCACCACTTCGAGTTATTGTTGCAGATGGTTCTCAGTTGCTTTGCACATCCCACTTTCAGCAGTTAACTTGGACAGTGCAGGATTGTGATTTCAGCTCAACTGCTATGGTACTGCCGCTATCATCATATGAATTGATCGTTGGTATGGATTGGTTAGCATCCTACAGCCCAATGCAAATCGATTGGCAGCACAAGTGGCTCCTTATATCTCAAGGCCAAGAGCAATGTTTGTTACAGGGGTCTCTCTCTGCACTGCCTGCGGGCTCTATGGTCCAGACTTCTGCTGTGTTGCCGGATGATACTGTTCATCGTCAGGAACCATTGCCTCCGGAGGTTACAGAGATGTTGTCTGAGTTTTAGTCCGTTTTTGCACCGCCAACTGGGTATCCTCCTGCCCGTGACTGTGACCATACTATTCCATTGTTGCCAGGGGCCAGTCCATTCTCGGTGCGTCCATATCGATATCCTCCTGCCATCAAAGATGAGATTGAGCGGCAAATCGCTGAAATGTTGCAATCGGGTATCATTCAGCACAGCTCCAGTCCTTTTTCCTCCTCTGCTAGTCAAAAAGAAGGATGGCACTTTTCGTTTTTGTGTCGACTTCAGGCAACTCAATGCTCTCACAGCCAAGGTCAAGTACCCGGTTCCTGTTATTGAAGAATTATTGGACGCGCTGACTCATGCGTCCTGGTTCTCATGCCTGGACCTCACGGTGGGTATCATCGAATCGTCTGCAATCAAAGTGAGAATTCAAAACTGCTTTCCAAACCCACTCGGTCGGTATGAATTGAGGTAATGGCATTCGGGCTCACAGTGCTCCACCACCTTCCTCAAAGCCATGAATACTACATGCGCGTTGTTGTTGCGTAAATGTGTCCTGGTTTTCTTTAATGATATTCTCATATTCATCGGACATATGAGGAGCACTTGGAGCATCTTCGTTTGGTATTCTAGTTATTGCAAAAGATCAATGGCAAGTCAAGATGTCCAAATGCGTTTTTACGCTCAAAAGCGACTCCGTTATCTTGGCCATGTGATTTACGAAAATTTGGCGTTGCCACCGATCCAAATTAAGATTCAAGCGAGCTTGTTCGATGGTAGTTTTAAGGCGGTAAGGCGAGGCGTGGCGACCCACCCCTTCCAGACGCCTAGGCGAGTAAGGCGGCAGCGGCGGCGGCGCCATACACATACTATAACCTACTATGGAGCAACACAAACATACCTTGTTGTTGTCAATCCTAGAGCCCATGTACCAAAGAATCCTAAAGGCGGAGCATATCCAAGGAGAAGAGCAGAGGCCTACGGTGGAGAGCGAGAGCGGAAGAGTTACTGTGTCTGCCGCGAGCCTGCGATGACGGGCGACAGGGACACAAATCGATGGAGCGAAGGAGGAAGAATCAATTGAAGGCACGAATCGACGAGAGAACCGTATGGAAGCACCAATCGAGCCGCCGTCGATGGAGAACCGGAAGGAGGAACGAATCGGTGGGGTGAATCGGCGGCGGTGGCGGAGGAAGCGCCGTCGATGGAGCGGGGCGGTGGAAGAGGCAGGCGCGCCACCACCGTGTATTCCGGTGTCTTTGCCCAGCCCACCCTCTTCCCTCTTCCCTCTTTCCCTACCACCCTCGCCCTTTCCCCTCTCTCAATTGACGTGCTGGCCTGGGGTCATGGCCCCGCAGGGGGTGTAGGCTCGCGATTTCCCTGCTGCGGAACTCCCCTCGACTTCCCACGCACTGAAACCACTCTCCTTTTCACACTGCCTGCCTTGCTCTCTGCACTAAGCCATCCAAGATTCCGCGCTGCGACGCCCGCCAACATAAAAGGGGCGCCAATCGCGCCTAGGCGACGACTGCGGACGCCATATCCCTCAAGGTCATGGCGACCCCGACGCCCAGGTTTGAAAATCGCCTGGACGCCAAGGCGACGACTAGGCAACACCTTAAAAACTATGTCTCCCAAGTCTGCTAAGGAATTACACAGCTTCCTCGGGTTGGCCGGGTATTACAGACGATTTGTCAAGAACTTTGGTGTTACCTCTCGGCCCTTAACTGAACTACGCGTAAAGGTGACATCTATGTGTGGACTGATGTTCAGGAACAAGCTTTCAAGCACTGAAACAGGCATGGACAACAGCTCCAGTTCTTGCTCTGCCGGATTTCAGTCGGCCATTTTCGGTGGAAACAGATGCTAGTATCACGGGCATTGGGGCGGTTCTCATGCAAGGTGGGCATCCCTTGGCATTCCTCAGTAAAGCTTTGGGACCTCATTCATTGGGAGTATCCACATATGAAAAAGAGTATATGGCCATCTTGTTGGCGCTGGAACAGTGGCGCAGCTATCTTCAGCATGCTGAGTTTCACATCATCACTGACCACCGCAGTCTCGTGCAGCTCACTGAGCAAAGGCTCCACACCCAGTGGCAGCAGAAAGTGTTTACCAAACTGGTGGGCTTACAATATAAGATTGTGTACCGCAACGGGTCCGAGAATGGCGCGGCAGATGCTTTGTCCCGCTGCCCGTTAGCTCAGGTCACTGCTGTTTCTGTCTGCCAACCACAATGGTTTGAGGAGGTTATTGCTTCTTATGCTCAAGATGCTTCTGCCCAAGAGTTGATCACCAAACTCACAGTTCAGGCTAATGCGGTCCCACACTTCACTCTCCGGGACGGTGTCCTTCGTTACAAGAATAGAATATGGGTGGGGCAAGATACAGAGTTTCAGCTCAAGCTGATATCAGCAGTCCATACATCGCCAATCGGTGGGCATTCAGGAATTGCTGTCACTTACCGACGATTGAAGCAGAATTTTGCTTGGCATGGCATGAAATCAGCAGTGCACTCTTTTGTGTCCTCCTGTATGTCAGCAAGCTAAGCCTGATCGAACCAAACTGCCGGGCCTTCTGCAGCCATTACCCGTACCTGATCGTGCCTGGACAGTCATCTCTATGGATTTCATTGAAGGCTTGCCACCATCTGGAGGGTTTAATTGCATCTTAGTGGTAGTCGATCTCTTCTCCAAGTATGCTCATTTCTTAGCACTCAAGCATCCATTTACGGCTGCATCAGTAGCTCATACATTCATGGCCCAAGTCTACAAGCTACATGGACTTCCACAGGCTATTGTCTCTGATCGAGACAAGATATTCACTAGTTCTTTCTGGAGGGAACTCTTTAAGCTCGCTGGTGTGGAATTGCGCATGAGCACGGCCTACCATCCCCAATCCGATGGGCAGGCCGAGAGAGTCAACCAATGTGTTGAGACACTTCTGAGGTGCTTCACTCACGCCTGTCCACGGCAATGGCGTCAATACTTGGACCAAGCTGAACTATGGTACAACACTAATTGGCATTCAGCACTGGGACGGTCACCATTTGAAGTCTTATATGGCTACCCACCATGGTAGTTTGGCATTGCGGCTGGCCCAGATACACCTGTTACAGATTTGGCGTCCTGGTTATCTGACAGAGCTCTCATGACAGATGTTAATCGTCAGCATCTCCATCGAGCCAAACAGCGTATGAAAAAGAATGCTGATGAGCATCGTTCAGAGCGTCAGTTTTAGGTTAATGACTTGGTTTATGGTAAGATCCAACCTTACATCCAGTCCTCCTTGGTGCAGCGTGCTAATCAGAAGCTGTCATTCAAATTCTTCGGCCCATATCGTGTTCTGGCTCGAGTTGGGTCTGTTGCTTATCGGTTGGAGCTCCCGGCTTCCTCTTCTGTTCATCCGGTCTTTCATGTTTCCCATCTAAAGAAGTCGGTGGGTGCTCACCATTCGGTTATAGCACATCCTCCATGTGATGCTGTGCTTTGGAACGTCCCTGAGCGTATTCTGCCGAACCGCCCTCAAGGGTACGCGTTCTATTTCTCAAGGTTTAATCAAATGGTCTAACTTGCCTACGTCTCTTGCGACATGGGAGGATCTGGAATTCTTGAAGCAGCAGTTTCCCCGCGCCTCCGTCTGGAGCCGGCCTGGCGCGCAAGGGGGGAGAGTGTTACGGCACGGGACACTGTTCAGCATCCCAATGCCACCGAGAAGGTCCACCAGAGCGCGAACGCAGAGCAAGCGTGTGACAGGCAAAGACTGGGTCGCGGCGTGATCGACTAGGTCAGCGCTACCTACATATATGTAATAGGCGTGAGGGAGAGAATCATCTATGATAAACATTGTAACAAACTTGCCCCTTCTGCAAGCTTCGTCTGATCCCCGCCTGCTGCTTTGCTTCCCTGCCTAAAACTCCAATTCCTATCGCTACTTCCCCAAATTCTTTATCAAACCTATCCAGCTTGTAACATATTCATATCCACATCGCAAATTGTCAAGTCTCATCGGCTCATCCTAATGTCCTTCGGTTACACATGGCTACTTCAGGTGAATCTAAGATGGCTAGGCAGAAACACAAGTTACCGGAGATAAATCAAACTGCACCCTTTGGGAGCCACGCTTGCTGTAGTAGGAAGTATCAGAACATTTGGACAGTGAAACAGGAGCACGCTCCGGTCCCATGAGCACAACATTGAGCGTTCCAGTGACAGACATGTTACCTTTGGATTGGGTGAGGTCGGCTTCGGCATGGAGCTGGAGGAGCTCCTCCCTTAGGCGCGCGAACGTCGGCGGGGTCCGTTCGCCGCCGACTCCGCTAGACGTCGCCAGAACGACGGCGAACCGCGGAGGAGTTGCCCCTGAGCGCCGCCTCCATCCGGGCAGGGCAGCAGGCGCCCGAAGCGGCGTGACGGCGAAGGCCATCTCCTGCACACTCCCAGCAGCGCACCCTCGTTGCGGCAGAGGCCTCTCCGACCGCGGTGGTGGGCTGCAGCGCACGCAGGCCGCAAGGTGTGCGAATCCTGGGACCGGGGAGTCAATGGGTACGGCCTGGAAGCGGAAAATGCGTATTACGTAATGTTCTTGTTGAAGACGTAAACACACATGTTCGCGTCAAATCCTGCAGTTCTCCCTCTATGACTCTATAATACAGGAGCACGTTGCATCTATGGAAATTCTAGCTTGGAGTTGGAGTGATGGAGTCACAGCGTAGCATGCAGGTAGGTGCAATTGCAAGACCAGAACGATGGATGCGGTGCATGTACAATACGTATATACGGTGTATCTCTCGCGTGCTAGCTTTGGAGCTTGGACCGTTCGGTCGCTTGGCCTCATCCACGCTCGCTACTGGGCGTACCCAACGGCTGACACATTGCTAGCTAGGAGGGCCAGTTAGCCAATCATACGGAGAGAGAATCAGAGAAATGAACAGCGCTAGCGAGACTGCAAGCGCTAAGCTCGCACGCCATCCGATGATTTTACTCTCTCTGATGACTCTTGCCATCTACGATGATTTTTTTCACTCTCTCTCACATCAATTTTAGATGACTTAAATGTAGGTAAAAAAAACTAATTTGCTCCTAGAAATCGTTCTACATATTATTAGAGTATCTTCATGTTGAAATTTTTTCAATCTTTTTCTTTGTTATTTTTCCTTTTTTTTATTTTCTCTGAGCTCCACGTAGGCTGGCGATTTGGCGGCGTTGATGGGGACGCCCTAACATTTTACAGGGGTACGAGTAACACGGTACGTACTGAACAATCTGACTTTCAACTCCATTTGCATCTACCAGTCAATTTGCTAGGTAGAATACACACACCTGGGGCTGGAGCACACGGGCAAAGAAGTTCACCGCGTTTTGTTTCCTGCTGGATCAGTCCAACCTGACAGTCCATCTCGCACGGTGCACAATCAGGGTCGCTCTATATATCGGCAAGCACTTCGGTTTCTCTACCGCGCCGGCCCCCCGGTGCTTCTTCTCCAGTGCACCCCTGCAGGCTGCAGCGACTTGGGACCGGGAGTAGTAGCCTTGTGTGCATGGAGGCTGGAGTGGGGAAGCAATGCAGCGCAGCATCAGCGGTTGAGCACGCCTGGAGGCTGGCTTGCAACTCAGGCTACAGGTCGTCGTCTCTAATTGTTGAAATACTTTCGCATTGGCCTCTTATATACTTCTTAGATTACTCTGTTCTCGCTTGTACTTTGAGTCGTTGACGTTTCAGACTTTCAGTCATTCAGATGTTGGCCCGCCGTGGTGTTCGCGTCCTGTACATGAGAGAATCCTCTCCTCAGACTTCTTCCTTTTCTTGTCAACGTGCAGGATTGTAAGTTTAAAATGAAGTGATAGGTGTCTATAGCCAGCTCAGTCGACAAGCGTGCGGTTTCAGACAATCCAGTATCAGCACGGACGTAACGAAAACAAGCAATTCGAGTGGCGGCTGTTCATGGCAATTGGTAGCGCTGTTGAATGAGCTTTGAGCTGTGCGTGCATATATATAGATGGGGAGAGCTGCAGGTTTGTGGCCCCGTTAGTGCTCAAACTGCTCGCTTGGCATAATGCGCACGCATGAGCAGTAGGTGCAGACATTAAGCCAGACCTTACAATACCAAATTACCAATGCAGCACTAGTTCTATTTCAATCAATCCATGAATAGATCCTCATTACTCATGTTTCCCCCATGCTTGATCAAACTATCACACACAATCACACATAAAACACCAACCACGCAAACAGATAGGTTCAGTCCTTCTATGTATACTACTCCTATATACCTGTTCATTCACGAATGGTGATTAGCCTAATGATGCACTCAATAGTAGGAGTACATTCACGACTAAAATGCAGATGAAGTTATTGTGTCCTTGGGGTTGGGGGGAACCGCGAATAAACTAATAAGCTCCACCCTGATCGTTCTCACCATCAGCATCCTTGTGATCGCCGAAGTAATCGGCGATGCGCTCCTCGTTCATCAACGAGTCGAGGAACGAGGAGAAGGTGGCATCGTCCACGATGGGGCAATCCAAGCCGAACCCGCCACGAGCTGCAACATCTGGTGCACAGAACGGATCACCAAATCCCTCGAAGCCCTCGACGCCGAAACCCACCATGCTGGTGGCGAAGTCGCCGCCAACACCGGCGCCGGACGACGAGCTCGGGTGCGCTGGCGGCGGCGGCGCAAACCGTGGCTCGATTTCCGGCAGTGGCGGCGTCTTGTCGGCTGAACCGGCCGCTGCTGCTGCTGCGTCGGCGCGGTGGGAGTGGAGGCTTGCTGCTGCTCCGGGCAGAGGCGTGTGCGTCCGCGGGTCGATGCCCCGCGCGATGAGCTTCTTGCTGAGGTGCGAGTTCCAGTAGTTCTTGATCTCGTTGTCCGTGCGCCCAGGCAGCCGCCCGGCGATCAAAGACCACCTGCACGCACGCACACTTAGGATGTAAGTATTGCACATTTGTAGTTGCAGGGGAGAAGAAACCCACGTGCAGTGCACGGTGTACGCTACACCTACACGCACCGGTTGCCGAGCAGGCGGTGGAGGCGGAGGATGAGGTCCTCCTCGTCGGCGGCGATGGGCCCGCGCTTGATGTCTGGCCTGAGGTAGTTCATCCAGCGGAGCCTGCAGCTCTTGCCGCAGCGCAGCAGCCCCGCGCGCCGCGGCAGCGTGCGCCACCGCCCCTCCCCCTCCTTCGCCACGGCCCGCGACAGCAGCTCGTCCTCCTCCGGCGTCCATGCTCCCCGCTTGAGCGTCCTCATCACCCCCGCGCCCGCGCTGCCCACGCCCACGCCCCGCTGCTGCGCCGCCGGCTTCCGCGTCATGATCCCTCCTCCTGCCTGCTCGTGTGGCTACTCCTACTACGTACTAGCCGAGAGAGCCTGGCTGCTGGCTGCTGGCTGCTGGCTGCTCAGCCGCTCGATCGCTCACGCGTAGCCAGGAAGCGTGCGCGCCGTGCACAGCGACGCGGGACGCCAACCCAGAGAGGCAAGGGTCGTTGGGGTGGTTCGTTCCTTGGGCGCGGCGGTCTGCTGCGTTTCGGGAAACGGAGGGATTCCGCGGCAATCAGATCGCGTTGGGTTGGATCAGCCGCGTTCCTGCCGTCGCCGTCGCATCGTGTTCGTGTCACGGGCTCGTGACCGTCGGGTTCGCTTCATGCGCAGTCCCTGGTCGCTTGCTTTGCCTGCTTGCCTCTCTCCTGGGCTTCTGGCGAATGTCGATGCTAGGCTACGTCCTGTTGGTCTGGGCCATGCTCACCTCGCTAATCCCATGGGCCCAGCCTAGCGGACCGGGCCAACAGGGTCCAGGTGATGAAACAAATCGACAGCTATGAGCGTGATTGGTAGGGTGCCCTCGTGGGTACATGAACTAGGTTCAGCTTCAGCACAATCAGGCTTGAGGCTCCACATACCCCAAGTAGCAGGCTGTTTAGCCAAGTTTCACTTGAGATTTTGATCGGACGCCTGTATACAAATACTGATATGTAACCTTGCATGTTCGTACAACAACTGGTGTTCCTTTGCCTAGTAAAGGAAAAGCCAGAAACAAGGGAGCAACAAAATTTAGAAGAAAATACATAGATTTAGAGCTTGTTTGGTAGAACTCTATCAGCTCCAAATCTAAAAAAAAAACACAGCTTCACCCCACAAAATCTCAGCCAAATGCTTCAGCTCCACAAAATCTAGATCGGCAAAAATTATGAATCTAATGGTCAGATTTATAGATTTCATGGAGCTCTTTCAATGGGTGCATTAAAAACTATTGACACTACACAGCAAACTGACTAAATTTCCTCTCTCGAGCATAGTCGTGCGCTGCCGCCTCTCACGACCATGTGCCACTGCCTCACCGTCATGGTCTCCAACTGATGCCTCTCCTGGGCGTGCCCGGCCACGACCCCACCCCGTTGTGCCCGCCCTCAACCGCACCCTACCACGCCATGAACTCCTCTCGGCCTCGCTTCGTCCCGCCATAGCCCCGCCTGCCGCCCCACCCTGCAGCACCACGCCACCATGGCCACGGTCCATGGTGGCCGCCACCCCGCCATGGCCTCACCGCACTCGGACTAGCCCGTCCCGCCATGGTCGTGTCCTACCCCGCCCCACAACACCGCACCCACCATGGCCGTGCTCGGCTGCGCGCCTCTGCCTGCCCTGGCCATGGCACACTCGGCCTCACTCCGCCTTGGCCGTGCCCCGTCGGTGTTCTTGCTTTTTTCTTGTTGTCCCTAAAAAATATTCTAATTATACATTTCTAGTTTTTGTTGTATATCTTTTGTATAAGTCCCTAAAAATAATTATATATAGCATATGAGTCCAAGGGTACAAGAGGCAATTCAACCAAAATCTCTGTTCATGGATGTGGAGCTACGTTGTAAGCCAAACACATTTTCTTAGCACCACGTTGGGAGATCAGATCCACCATAGAGCTACTCCATGGTGGAGTTGGTGCTCCAGATTCGTGTTTGCAGATCTAGAGCTCTCCCAAACACAAGCCCTTAGCTCTTCCTCCTTGATTCGGAAGATGTTATTTTTCTTATCTTAGAACATCTTTCTTATGAAGATGGAACATTATTTCTTGAACCTAGAACATTATCTTCATGAGAAAATATTGTTTAACAAAATATTATTTAATATCTCGAAGTGGGTCTTATTTGAAAGGATTTGTTGTGAGACACGTAATTTATAGTTGGAATTTAATTGGTGGAATAGCCGTTTTGGTCTTGGACTATTACTCGAGGCTCAGTTTTATCCCGGAGTGTTCAAAATAGTCGTTTTATTACTCAAACTCTATTTTTAGGCTCAATTTCATCCCAGAACTATTAAGATGATTGTTTCAGCCCTCAAAAACTTTACATTTTGGGCTCAATTTCATCTATGGACTATCAAAGTGCATTTAAATCTTCAAACTTTTATTGTCAACTCAACTATGTCCAACGTCCTATGTGAAATGTTGCATTGTTACGACTGGTCAGCTCTAGCACCACCAACTATTGGAGATATAAAATTAATATTCATCCAAAAACTCTTTAGTGACCTTTAATAATTTCAAGCTGTTTTTTTTATTGTTACCTTATAAGAGTGTCATTTATATATATCCGACTAAATGATTTTTTGTGGGTACAGTGTAATTCTAAAAAAAATACAGTTACTTCGAACGTTGTTTATTACCTTAAGAATACATGGATATATTGAAACAACGATAAATCTATAATTTTTTTCCTTGGCTACTTCTAGCGTTAGGCTCAACTAATAACCAACTATGTATTAAATAATATTTTTTATCCACATGTTAAAAAATAATTCATATTTAAGATTATTCATATCTATATTTATATTCGTTTAGAATATGGATATAATGTTGAAAGTGTGCTATCCAATTCGGTAGCTAGGACTACGTCAGGGGAGTACATAACGATGACCATCCATCTCAAATTGCGGGTGGTGCTTGACAAAGGACAAAGTTGAGCCAAAAAAAGTTTAAGGACTAAAATCCATTTTGATAATTCATGGATGAAATTGTGCCTAAAATATAAAGTTTAAGGATTAAACCGGCCAGTTTGATAATTTAGTGATGAAACTGAGCTCAAAAGAAAAATTTGAGGACTAAAGTGGCCATTTTAAAAGTTTAGGGATAAAATGAGCCTTTTGTGATAGTTGAAGGACCAAATTAATTTAGATGCGTTTAGATAACTATGTCTTTTTTGTTTCATGTATGAGACTTACTTTTTCTTACTTATTGATCATGCAGTCACCGTTACACCAAGTATTATGGTGTGTTTGGTTTAGGTAATCAACCCATTTTAGATGGGTGATACATCATGAGTCCGATCGATCTATTCTTTAAATTTAGTAGAATCATCTCATTCTCCATATTAGTATTGATTTTTAGCGTGTGAGGAATGACGTGGCAATGGATTAACTTATTTTATTTCATTCGGGTCATCGGTCATGCATGCGCGCACAGAAAGCCAGTCGGATCAGATCGGACCGAACCCAACACGCCCTACAGCGACCTCGGCTATCGCATCCTTCCACCTTCGCTACAGTATCTCGATAGTTCTTCTCATAGTTCTTCGGTCGTTCCCGCGAAGTTTGACACGTTTACGTGACGTACTCACGTGTGAACACCTGTGCGGCCAGGCTTTTCAACTTCCAGTTAGTGCACGCTTGGCATGCAAGGAACATCCCTCCGTCCCTCCAGTAGGAGACAAGTCAAAGAAGAAAGAAATGCTCCACTAATCCGGCTAATTATAAATTATTCTCTGGTAGTCAAAGGTTGACAAGTATTCTCCGGCTAATTAGTAATTATTCCTCCTCCGTCTTTACTAATTGTTTTTTTAGAATGTCTTTTTTATTGTTTCCATTCTCATAAAAATATTGCTTATGGTGACATTGTTCAATGATGCTATTATTGTATGATTCTCACTTGCTTCTCTGATCGTCATTGTCATCACAAGGGAAAAGAACATTGAAAGCTACTGAACTGAAATCTTTCTCGTTCCTGCAAACTGCACAATTGTCAAAATCACGAGCTTTTTGTGCAAGCTAAACTGAATGCTCCTGTTAGACATTCAATAACCAATTTCAAGTCAAGAAACTGTAGGAAATGCAGAGCAAAACCACTTAAAGGGTGCCTAGTGTTTACTGTTGCACATTTCTTATTTGTTTATTTCCCTTTTTTGCAGATTCAGAAATGGAGCATAGGAGGCAAGAAACTTTGAGCTTAATTCAAAGGCCTTTTGCAGATTCAGAAATGGAGCTTAGGACGAGTGGTGCACTCTCCTGAGTTGTATGGTTTTTGAACCCAGTTTCCGCTCAAAAAACTGGGTGGGCATTTGCCTTTTTTTCTTTCATCGTCTAATAGAAATCGCGGAAAAGCTTTTGCCGTCCTTTCAAGAAAAAAAAAAAAATCAAAGGCCTTTTGTTTTTCTATATTTTTATTATTGTTTATGTAATACTTAAGAAGGCTGATGTAATGATTTCATATAATTATTTGGTTGTAAGCAAGTAAGCACTTTAGTAGTATATTCATCTATGAACTAACACTGGTTAAGTCCAAAGGGTAAAAAGGATAGAGGCTCAGGCACTCTGTAGCTAGTTATCATCAAATGTCAGTCAAGCCATAGCTAGTTATCAACAAATTTCAGTCAAGTCATAGCTAGTTATCATCAAATTTCAGTTAAGTCATAGCTAGTTGAATAACCCTAACCCTAACAGTTGAATCTAATCAGACCGGCCCTAACCCTAACAGTTGAAATAAGCTATACCTTCTTCTTGCAATTGGGTTTTCTCAATGTCGCTAGCCTTTTCACTCTAGCGGTCAAAGAAGTCGTCTTCTTGAGCGACGACAGTAGTTCCTTTGTCCGTGCCTTTGCCCTGCCCGGTCTGGGTCGGCGTCACCGCTCCTCTGGCTCGCCCGGCAGCAGGGGTCGCTAACGCCACTCCTTTTTCCTGCCTGGTATCGCCAACACCGCTCCTTTGCCCCGCCCAGCGGTAGGGGTCACCGGCGCCGCAGATCCGTTGCCCCACCCGGCGGCAGTGGTCACCGGCGTCGCAGATCTGTTGCACCGCCCAGTGGAACAGATCCTCGACGCCGCGCCATTGCCCCACGCCCTTTAGGGCGAGATGCATCACCGAAGGCTTCACCTCCTCGTCAGAGTCGATGAGGTAGAGGATCATGTCTTCTACCGGTATCCAGTCGAGACCGCCGCCACCACTCGAGGGGGAGAACTGTCGTTCCTAAAAAATTTAGGATTGAGATGGGGCGGGGCCGGATCACGATCCATTCTCAGGCCACCCACCTGGTAGTACAGTACTACAGC